ATTTGTCTTTTAGTGACAGGTGTATTTCACTTATTTGCTCTGATTTTGAAAGTTCTAGTAGTGTGCATTTTTTATTCTAATTTTGGTGGGAAAATATCTCAGGCCCTGTAGACCTCAAGCTTTCATATCTCTTCACCTTTAAAAAGGTATAATTTGGCTGGGCATGGTGGCTCACGCTTGTAATCCCAGCACTTTGGGAGGCTGAGACAGGTGGATCACTTGAGATCAGGAGTTCAAGACCAGCCTGGTCAACATGGCGAAACGCTGTCTCTACTAAAAATACAAAAATTACCTGGGTGTGGTGATGGGCATCTGTTATTCCAGCTACTCGGAAGGCTGAGGCAGGAGAATTGCTTGAACCTGGGAGGCAGAGGTTGCAGTGAGCTGAGATCGCACTACTGCACTCCAGCCTGGGCAACAGAGCGAGTCTCAAAAAAAATAAAAATAAAAATAAAAAGGGTATAATTATTTTTTCACTTCCCACATATTAAGTTATATCGTCTAAGATGGAAATATTAGGACCATCATATCTGAGTCTTAGACCTGAAAGACACAGGTGAGGGGCATCAGTCCCCAAGGATTTGCAATCTACCCTTTAGTTGTTAATTTTAAAACATGCAGAGAATTGGGATATAAACAAAAGCAAAATCTGCACCTTTGTTGGTTATTAGAGGAGTCAGCTTGAGGAAGTACCCTAGTTGCCTGTGACCATGGCTGAGTTTCCAGCTTTATCTCCCACCAGCCTCCTGCTTGCCCGATGGGACTGCCCTAGAGCCTGAGTACTACTTTTCAACCATCAGCTCCAGTTTCTCCGTCTCTCCCCTTTTCAACGGCGTCACATATAAGGAGTTTAACATTCCATTGGAAATGCTTCGGGAACTCTTAAACTTGGTAAGCAAAGAACTGATGGATGAACAGACTATGGATATGTCAGTAAAATTGCTAGTGGTGAAAGCTTGTATTTTTAAAAGAAAAACTCAGAGTACCAGTATTTCAAAGTACCATTTAATAGTCATAAACTTGCAGATTAATGAAGGAAGCAGAGTAACATTCATGGAATCATTGTGCACTAGTTTCTCATTTAATCCTTGAGCAACCATGCTGGGGAGGCACCCATGCATCCCCATTTGGAGGTCAGGAAATCGGTATCAAACACATCATGGATATGTAGGCCAGCAGCTGGGCTGCATCCAGTCCAGGGATTCTGACTCCAAGCCCAGTGCTTTTCCTGGGCTTGACTCCCTCTAAGGGGTGGCTCTTTGGGTTAATACAAAACCTGACTTTTTCGTATTTGTGTACCTTTGGATGACCTTTAGGGTGATACCAGAGAAAACACCAGTGCCATTGTTCGAATCCTTAAACGGCCAGAGCTTTGGTCAGATTCAGGGACCTCGGTTGGATGCATGGCTCATGCCTATAATCCCAACTTTGGGAGGCCAAAGCAGGCGGATCACTTGAGGTCAGGAGTTAGAAGACTAGCCTGGCCGACATGGTGGAGTCTCATCTCTACTAGAAAACACAAAACTTTATCTGCACATGGTGATGGATCCCTGTAATTCCAGCTACTCAGGAGGCAGAGTTAGGAGGATCGCTTGAACTTTGGAGGTGGAGGTTGCAGTGAGCTGAGATTGCACCACTGCACTCCAGCCTGGGCAACAGAGTGAGACTCCATCCCCCCAAAAATTGAAAAATAAAGATCCAGGGGCCCTGAAGTTGTTACAATCAAGCTAGGATGGTTCAAGACAGATTTGAATGGGTATGGGTGATGATGTCATCAAGGCCAGACTCTCAAGTTTGAACTTGCTGGTCAGGAGTTAGAAGACTAGCCTGGCCAATATGAGAACAATGAGAACAATTTGGATAGCATGGAGCAAGTGCTGAA